TGATACTTGCTTATAAAGATAGCATTGATCTCTTACTTGTTTTTGTCGCTAGCTTTGACATCCAGAATGCACTGCTGTCCCCCAATAAGAACCGACATTTTTTTAAGACTGAACTTGTTGTTTTTGCTGAACCCGAAGTCCCACCCACACAGGGTCAGTCTTGTTACACCATCAAAAGCTGCACTGTTTGGAAGAATCTGAAAAGGGAAAAAAAATAGTAACACACTTAGGATTTCTGATGGGCTTTGAAGGTGTTTTTCAAAGGGGAAAATAATGGGAGAAAATAATTTCTTCTGCTGGAGAGTACCCTACCCTTTATCTTAATTGTTCCTCACCTTTCATTCATCACAGTATGAGCATTCTCAGACACTAGCAATAAATAACCCAGCCACTGCTCGAAAGCTCTGAATTATTATGTTTAGGGGCACTGAACAAGCTCTGCATTGTAATAGTCTTTTTAATACCCCTTTAGCTTGTCTTTTATGTCTTTCTTGTGGTATGTAGAAGAATACAATGCACTTATTTTATTAGAAGTAAGATAGTGAATAAAAGAATATCAGTAACTTATTTCACCAACGTGATGAAAAGTCAAGAATTCATGGAGATGATAGCTTCAAAGACATCTAAATCAAACATTGCCTTGGGAGCCACAGAATTAGCAGGGTTTCTACAATGCTTTGGCTGAATTGATATCATTTGGTTACTTCTACATTTTCAAGTTAAAAATAAACCACCTTGCAGCAATGTAGTGACAATCCAAAAAGGAAGTGCTCTTCCCCCTCCCACAACCTTCTATATATTGTAAATTGTGTTGTAAATATAACAATGGTGGGAAAAATATATGAATACTATGGAAGTTGTTCAAATTTCAGCAAGGCACTGTCAATAAAATCTGACAATGCTTTTAAGGCATATATAGACTTTTAACAATAGCATCTGAGTTTGCAAACATTCAAGCCCCCGGGCTAGAGAACAAAAGAATTAACTTATGCTTGTGATGGAACTACTAAAGTGACTTTGGCTTAATATTTTATAGTGAGGGTTATTTTATTCCTAAGAAGCAGCACAATTGTGTCTTTCATCATGAATCCTGCTTCTTCATGTTGCATCTGAAAAGGACATTTCTAGTAAAATACTCAGGTTACTGTATCCTTTGAACATCCAAAAGGAACTGGCACATTTCATTTAAACTTTATGGACTTGGCTTAATGCTAGAAGGATTTAGGAAATAAAATGCCAAGGGCAAAGTAGGTATTGTGAACATGCTGCACAAATTAAACCATATAAATGGTGAAACAATTGATCCTAGGGAAAATGAGACAATGAATTAAATCCAGACCCTACTAAAGTCCATTTGGAATCTACTCCAGAGTCATCTTTATGTATATGCCGTATTTCCTCAATGTCTTATATTACTCTTTGTGTAAACAAGACTCTAGAGTTTGTTGGTCTGCAAAATCTTCTATCAATGACAATTAGGAAGGGCCCTCTCGGTGGTGGCGCCCGCCTTGTGGAATGCCCTCCCATCAGATGTCAAGGAAATAAACTATCTGACTTTTAGAAGACATCTGAAGGCAGCCCTGTTTAGGGAAGTTTTTAATGTTTGATGTTTTATTCTGTTCTTAATCTGTTGGGAGCCACCCAGAGTAGCTGGGGAAACCCAGCCAGATGGGCGGGGTATAAATTTTAAATTATTGTTGTTATTGTTATTATTTAGCCATGCTAATGAGCAGGACATCCTGGATTTACAGAAGCCACCCCAGCTTCGGATGCCAATCCTAGATGTCCCTTTTTGGCTCCCTCTGCTTCCCCTCCGCAGGCACTGCCTCTGCCGCATTCTCCCAGGAACCAAAAGAACACAAAACCCAAAGATGTGTGTGTGTTTTTGTGCCATGCTCTCCTATTCCTCTGGTGCTGCTTCTGGACGTAGGTGCGTGTGTGGCGCATGTGTGTGTGGTGGTGAGCAGCAATGAGTAAGGGCAGCCAGTGGTAAGATGAGGGGGAAGGCGGTATGTAAGGGTGGCTGGTGGCAGGATGGTGAAGGGGGGGGAGAGAGGCAGCGACCGCAGTGTATAAAGGCAGCCGGTGGGGTGATGTTGTGGGAGGTCATGTCCCAATCTTCCCTCCCAGGAGGTTGGAGGGTATGTACTTAATATTAAGTACTGTTGCTAAATAATTACAAGTCAGGCTTTTTTTTTTCCAGCCAGAGCTCACCGGAACTCAGTTCCAGCACCTACTCAGGTGGGCGCCATTGCCATCATGCCACCATGAAAGGAGGCGTTCATGGTGATTTCCAGCACCTCTTTTTCTAGAAAAATAGCACCGAGAGACATTTTGAGAGATTTTCCCAAGCCAAACAAGTACAGCTGTTCATAGAGGTGCAAGTATAGCTGCCACATGAACATTTATAGGGAAGCCCAAGTTTAATTTCAATAGAATTACATTTCATTTGTGCCTTCCATAGTTGTACATTTCTATTTTACATGAAACAGGGAAGTTCAGATATTTTGTGGGCTTTTTTCTTTCTTGCTTATTTAGAGAGAAACCGTTTTGACTGCGAATGCTGCCACACCTAGGAATGTGATCACTGTGACCAAAAATTCTGAGAAAGTGTGTGGCCTATTTAAAGCAAAGGATACAAACTAGGAGTCCTACTCTTGCATTTAAAAAACACTAACAAAATTGCTCTTGATGGGATAGATTACCATCTTTTTTTTTTTTTAACCAACTAAAGGCTTGGTCCCAGGGCGATATTTACAATGGTAGCAGCAGTTTTTATGTCCATGCAGGGATGTTTCAGTGTATTTTATTTTGATCACAATTGCCTTAGACCACTGCACTAAGACCAAAACAACCCATAGCTGTTGTTGGGGCCGGTTCTACGTGACTGGGCAAAACACCACAAAATGACGGAAATTTTTCTTATCATAGTAAAGGCAAAATGAGGGCATTACCATCAACTCAGGCCTTTGCAATTACCACTCTGTGTTTAACTTAAGGACCAGAGTATCACTTAGCATATTTTAACTACACTGTTCCTTTAAAACTCTCATATATATGGATGGATTTACGGATTCTATTGCAAATGCCACACAAAGCAGGTTATCTTTGATTTGATAGTACCAGCATAAAGCCTCAAACACACGGTTCTTCCCTAGATTTAATGTGCATGGGTGTAAAGCAATAGGCCAAAGATGAATAATCTATTTTTTTATTTTTAGTAGTAATGCCAACCGTCATGGTCTACCAAAGCGTGAAATCTCCCTTAGCAGCTAGCGACCATAAAGATTTAGGTTCTCAGCTGCATTATTTTTCTTCCTTTTAGAAATAAGTTCCACAAACTCACATATGCTGTGGCACAAGCTATTAGGATATTTCATCATTTATCACTGCCAGAGAATAATATTTATTGCATTTTTTTAAAAAAAATAATATATTCAGCACATGAACTTGAGCTTTATATCAATCCAACTGCACTCTGATAATTTTTCATCATTCACTAACTTTATGCAAAATTTCTCCTGAGTAAGCACAGTGGACTTGATTTAAAGAATTGCTATACAGTATTCATGAAACTTTCCCCCCCTAATGGCTTCCTTACTCAACAGATACCTTTAAAAACATTCCCTGCATGTAAAAATAACATGACTATACCAAGCATGCCTGCATTTTGTCATAAAAACCCAAATTACACATGACGGCTTTGAACAATTTCATACTATGATAGCATGACATCTCAGTCACACGAAGTCCTCTTACCCTTGCCCTGGCAGAGGTAAGGGGCCTTAATGTAGTTTTAAATGTGATTTACATTCACTCTAAGGCCGTTTTACACTACGTGAAGTGCATAAAAGGCCTAATGTAACTATGAATCAGACTTCATAATTTAAAAATTATTTAGGGCCTGCTTTCCACCCCATTTAAGCCATGTGCACTTGCTTAAAGTGATTGTAAAAGCTTCCCCCTTTCAGAGAAGACAGATTTCCCTTCATGTTGTGCATCTATACATAACTGTAGGGTGCAAGGATTGTTCATTGGTCCTTCCTGAATTCACAGCTGAGTTCTAATCCATTACAAAAGATGCATTTACCATTATCCTGCTATGTCTTGTCACCATAGGCTTTTTCTCTTTTGCTTCAACACAGATTACAACAGTTTGATAAGGTACAAATTTGACACAGATTCGTTTTCTGTGTCGGGCTTGACTTGGATGCTATTTTAAGCACTTTTAAAAGCAAAACAGAAGTATGTTTGGTAGTTCAAAGGCTCTACTATTTATGCATTTATCCATCTAAAAACACCGATAACAGTGAGCAGCAGAGACAAATATATCGAGCGAACGGTTGGTGTGTTTACGTGTGGGATTACAAGTGGCATGGCCGCTCTGTAAAACTAGACCTTCATAATTATGTCACACTTAATGCAAAATGATTTGGTTAAATGCAGAGGCAGCCTGTACAAATCTTGCAATGACCATAGCTAACTGAAAACAGCAATGGGCTACTAAGCTCTTTTCTCATTTGTGTAATTTAACTCTTGCTCACACTTTTTGCATTCATGAATATTTTTTAACGGGAAGCAGCTTCTAGAGAGGTTCCCTTTCCTAAGGGCCAATCTGCAGGCTGTCTCTTTACTTAATGGGCAACAATACACAACCCAAATGTGTCAACAGAATTGACAGCTCCGTTATAGGGCTTTCATTGGGAACAGGGCTCCGTTGAGCCAGCCTCAGTACTGAGGTTCAAAAAAGTTAAACAAAATTTTATTAAAGATCTTCTTGGTTCACAAAAAATGTGCATTGTCTCTCTCCGTCCGCCCCCTCCAAATCATAAAGTCTTTTTTACGTTTGATGTGAGACATTATACAGAGTAAGGTGGGGGAAGAAGAATGAGGGGAAGGAGAAGGGGAAGAGAGGATTGTAGTGGTAATATTTAGTATGTTTGTGTGGTTTTATGCCAGTGTCACTTGAGTAGGTTCTCTATTAATTTATTGTTTGTGTGTGTTTGTGTGTGTGTGTGTGTACACATACATACACAAACACACATATATGTATAAATACACATATACACACATACATATATATTTCTTGGTGGTGAGAGAGGTTGGGGAGGCAGGGTGTGGTTGGTTATCTTTAGTTGGCTGCAGTGAGGTTTGTTTGTGGGGTGTGGTGATTGTTGGGTCAGGTCAGCCATATTGGTCCATGCTTACTCTTGACAGGTCTCTTCAGTGTTTCTGGCTGCTGAGAGTAGGTGGATTATGAGCTCTTTATAGTGTGCATGGGCATTATTATCTTGGAAGATGTTTAGTAGGGCCAGTTCTGGGGTGACTTCTAATAGCTGTTTAGTTATTTTGCTCGTTTGCTGTAGGACTGCTATCCAGAAGTTGGATTTGGGGGCATTCCCACCACAAGTGGAGATACGTGCCTGTGGAGGTGCAGCCTCTCCAACATTTTGGTGAGGTTCCTGGGCATATCAGTGCCAGTTTCCATGGTGTTAGATATTTTTTTAAAAAATTTAAACGGAAAAGAAAGCCAGTCTCTATTAATTACTCTTGTTACCAAGAATGAGGAAGTCACTTCATTATGAGAAATCTAAAGTGAGAAAGATTCACCAACTTTCAAGTCCTAAATTGGTATGCAAAAAAACTCTGGGAGTCATTCAGCATGTTCACACCTGGCTTATTCCCATATTGATGCCGAAAGCCATAATTAGTTCACATAAATGAAAACTCTAACATGGTAAGTTGTCCCAGGGCAAAGTATGGAAAAGGCACCTGTCAGGCTTTACCAATTTTACTGGGATTTTTGTCCAGGCAAAACTTGACAAAGGCCTTCTCTCAATTTCTGTATTTTACCCTAATGGGCAAATAAAAGTTTGGAGGGTAGAGATTCCATTTAGAAACATGGCGGAAGGGCGGCAAAAGAGGATTAACCCTCTTCTCAATGCTGTAGCCCCAAATGAAATTTGAGAGAGACTGAAAATGCTTTTTCCTTCAGGCAGGGAAAAGCCCCACTGAAGAGACTTTCTGTTGGTGTGCCATAGTGTAAGAACATCTTATTCAAATAATTGGAGGGCATGTTTTAACTTGTGAAAAGGAAATCACAGAAGTGATACTTCATGTGTCCCACTGCAGTAGTTTTTTTTTCTAGATCCTTCCAACCCACTCCCTGCTTGGGGTTGAACTGGCAAATCGCTGCTTCTTATCTGGAAAGCTTTTCTCCAAAAAGGTTCCAAGAGTTTGCCCAGAATTGTATACACTTATCATTACACCAGTCTACATTACACAGGGATTAATGAAAGAAAAAGATAGCTTTACCTGAGAAATTTTGGGCGCACATGTTTCCTGCGTCCAGCTTCCTACAGTGCACTCAGATGACCGCACGCACTGGTCGCCACACCAGCCGCAATTCATGAAGGAAGGCAATCGAAGGCATTGGCTACAGGTATTGACGTGAGAGCACCCTGGTCCAATGAGTGGGATCTTTGTTATCTAGTGACAGGAAAGTTACATGAAAATCACCCCAAAACTGTATAGGTTAGTAGACCATGTATACACAGCTGAGGAGCCAGAAACACTTTTAAGTTACCCTGCCAATGATATGGCTGTTAACTTTTACAATATAGGCAGGCTCATATTCTTCAATAAACACTGAAAGCACAACCCATCAGAAGACTGATGGATCACAGAAAGGGAAGGGATTCTCTTGCTGCACACTACATGTAGGGCTGCTGATCCTTGCTAGGTATATCAGTAAATCTAAACCACAACACATGAGAAGTATCCCTGTGTGTTCACGCACCCCTCCAAAAAATCCCTTGCTAAGTCTTTTTACTCATTTCTTTTTCACCTCTAGAGTAACTGATCATGCAAGAAGCAGAAGGCTTACTTGAAAGCAGCATTGAGTTGCTGTCTTAAAATAGGGGATTAAAAATGTGTTGAGTTCATTGCTTGAACAGACTGGGGTTGTTGTGGCTGTTATTTTTCAAGAACCTGAATCCATACCTTCAAGCACAGCTTTGGGTAATGTATGCTTGATTGTAAAGGCCACCTCCTAGTCTAGTTTTAAATGGCTAATGGTGGCTAATTTGCCTCTCCTGTAAGGCAGGAATAATGGTACCTTCCTAGTCGGTGTCAATTAATTGGTGCCTGTAGAATTCCTAAAAGGATGGGGCGAACAACTATCAAGAATGATGAATTACACTAACATTTCTTCGCTTTAAACTCTCTTTCCAATAATAGAATATGTTTAATACCATTTAAGCTCAAAACATTATCAACAAAGGTCATTCGAAACACCATTCTTTTACTTAAGTCATTGTGTATTTTTCTTCTCAACAGCTTGCACTAAAGAAAAAGGAAAGGTGTCAGCCCTACATTTACATTACTTTTCTTTTACTGGTTTCCATCACAGGTCTTCTGCTCAAACAGTTCTCTATATTCATTTACTTGATTTCTTAGTGCAAAAATAAAAATAAAAAATCAAAGAAGCAAATAATGCACACAAGATTATGGAAAGGCTGCAAGGCGAACTCCTTAGAACCTCAAAGAGCGCATTAAAGTTTAACCAATATGGACTTTTGCACAGAGTGACTCTTAAATTGGTTTTTGCCTTTCCACATTTGTATTCAAATGTAAGAATATCTTTATACTGAGCCTCTTCTGTTCTTTATATTCCAGAATACAATGGCAGTACAGTGGTACCTCGGGTTAAGTACTTAATTCGTTCCGGAGGTCCGTATTTAACCTGAAACTGTTCTTAACCTGAAGCACCACTTTAGCTAATGGGGCCTCCTGCTGCTGCCGCACCGCCGGAGCACAATTTCTGTTCTCATCCTGAAGCAAAGTTCTTAACCTGAAGCACTATTTCTGGGTTAGCAGAGTCTGTAACCTGAAGCGTATATAACCCGAGGTACCACTGTATAACCTGTGGGAATGCCCTTAAACCTGGACATAGTTAGTTGGGATTCAGATCCCAGCTGAGCCACATAAAATGTGCTGGGTAAAATGGCTGCGGTTGAGACTGTACCTAGTCACACAATGGTAAGGCAGCACCCCCTGCTTTGTGCAGCATGTTTCCTCACAGCTGAAAAAACAATAACACAGAGAGCGCTTTCCTCCCCATGCATATCTATGGAGTGATGTCTCCATTGACTTGCATGGGGTGGGAGAAGCTGCATCCCTGAAAAATGGTTAGTGAGGGGGCTAAACCACTCCTGGCCAAGAACCCTTATAGGGCAGCCTTTCTCAACCTGTGGGTCCCCAGATGTTGTTGAACTACAACTCCCATCACCCCTAGCTAGCAAGGCCAGAGCTCAGGGATGATGGGAGTTGTAGTCCAACATCTGGGACCCACAGGTTGAGAACCACTGCCTTAGGGCAACAGGCTCTTTGTCAGTGAGTGGGCATTTCCTCCCAGAAGCTGATTTGGAGGGTACAGCTTTCTCACCCTGCCCATGCAATTACATGGTCAGATTCAACTGGACTTAACTGTCCAGGGGTCCTTTACCTTTACCATGGAACACAAGGGGGCAAAGTTGCAACCTCCTACAAATGGGTAGTGGGGAGAGGCTGCAAGATCCTGGCAAGCTCCTTGTTGTGACTTTGTAGGTTCTGCTTTGCCTTTGGGGTGCATTATTTGGGGTACCAGCTTATACAACTGATGGACTGTATAATGATAATAGGAGGAATCCTTATACGGTGGTACCTCAGGTTACAAACGCTTTGGGTTACAAATTCTGCTAACCTGGAAATAGTACCTCGGGTTGAGAACTTTGCCCCAGGATGAGAACGGAAATCGGGCGGCGGCGATAGGAGGCCCCATTAGTGAAAGCGCGCCTCAGGTTAAGAATGGTTTTGGGTTAAGAGCAGACCTCTGGAACGAATTAAGTTCGTAACCCGAAGTACCACTGTATAAAGGTATCCCTATAACCAAAAGATTATGAAATATTTACCCTATTCCCGGTGACCACCAGAATATAACCATCATCGCCTGGCAAATTCTTAATTAGAGAAACAGGATGGTGATCCAGTTGGAAATTTACATACGGTTCATAGTGTTCTGAACGAGAAATCACTATCTGAAAAAGAAAAATTTAGAAAGCAAACAATTTATATTCATATTATGCAGTAATCTTGATCTACAATTATAATTACATTTTTTGGGGGCGGGGATACAAATACCAATCCATTATAAATGCACTAAGAACCAATGAGAAAACAGCTTAAAATCAACAATGTTTTGAAAACAATAGAGGTCAACATTTCTGCAAAAAAAAATTATTAAAGTTGTATCACTTTTGGGAAACAAAAGACTTTAGACTGACAGCAATGAATTCTAAAAGTAACCCTAGACACTGAATTTTGGACCAGTTGGAAGTTTCTGAGTTGTCTTCAAGGGCAGCCCCATATAAAATGCACTGCAACAATCCAATCTGGAAGTTACTAGAGCATGGAGTACCATGTCCAAATCATCTCTGTCCAAAAGGGGCAGCAGTTGGTGAATCAGCTGGAGCTGGAAATAGCCACTCCCAGACACAGAGGCCACCTGTCCTTTAATTGACAATGTTGGATCAGGGAGTACCCCCAACCTACGAACCTGCTCCTCCCAGGAGAATACAACCCCATCCAGAACAGTGTGTTCCCACCTTCTGGACCAAGGAATTTGAAACACATAACACCTGTCCTTTCAGGATGCAATTTCAGGTTGTTTGCCCACATCCAAACACTTGTCTAGCACCTCAAGTCACCTCTCCTGATTCAGATGGATAAGAGAAATAGATCTGGGTGTCATCCACATATGGGTGACACTTCACTCCAAAACTTCTGATGACAGCTCCCAGCAGTTTCCTATAGATGTTAAATAGCATTGGGGACAAGATGGAACAGTTTGCCACCCCTTAAAATGCACAGAAATACTGTTTTAGCTTTGTGTAGCTTAGTGTGTATGAGGCTAACCAAAACTGGCATGTCTTATTTTTAGATAAAGGTTAATAGCTATTACAGGGTGCAATAGTGTTCTGTTAAAAGTCAACTGTGGCAGAGTTGAATTCCTCAAGTAAAAATTTCTATGAAATCCCAGTTAACATCTTTGAATTACTTTGAAATAAACTTTTAAAAGACCAGTGCCATAGCTATTCTCAGAGGGGTGGAATCCAATGGCTTAAAAAAAAAAAAAAAGCTTCCTTGCCACATTTATGGACAACTCTAACTACAATTTTGTGGTCATTGTCTGGCGGTGCGGAAGAAGCAAAAACTCAGTGGAGATGTGTAGTTTAAGCGGCATGCAACTTTGACCCAGTGTTTCAGACATGGTTTGGTTTTACAACCAGGAGAAAGTGTGAAACACACACACACACACACACACACACACGAATAAACTGCAAAGCTGCGTGAAAAAACAGATTAATTTTGGTATTAGGGAGAGGTAAATCCACAGCTGCAAATACCTTTATAATGGATCATTAGCTGTGTTTTCTCTTGAATGCCCACTGCTACGAAATGCCAAAAATGTTTCCTCTTATTGCCAAATGTTATTTCTTGACTGAGCATGCGTTAACCCTCGAATTGCTTCTAAGATGCATCTACAAAACAATGCCAGAACCATTTGGTCCTGTTTCCATGGTTCTAGAGAGCTGCCAAGGATCCATTATCACTGAAACTGAACACCACAGCAAGTAAACAAGCTTTGTTCTGGCAATCCAGGCTGAAGACATTCCTTACTACTAGTAAAAGTTGCAAGTGCTATAAACTCATTATTACCTTTGCTATGTTGAGGCCATTGACACAACCTCTGAAATGCATTTTAGGGAAGCTGTTATAAGGGCTCATCCCTAAGGGCCTGTGTCACATTTTCTAGGCACAGATCTGGGATTTCCAGGTCAATGTCTGAATGGTGGGGTTTGTTTTTTTATCTTAGCATTTTCCCTGGGGAAACCTGCATTTTACTGCTGGATCGGAGAAAACGGCACCAAGTTGTATTTAATAATTTTCTTCTGAAGACCAATTGGGTCAAAACATGTCATATTAGGCTTTGACCTGAACTGAGGTCAATTTGTTACTGTACCTTCTCTACAATCCTCTATTTTGACTACATCTTCATATTTTCATGTTGGATTAAAGTTTTGCTTCATTTCCCTATAATAATTAGAAGCATTTCACATTTTTTATTCTCACCAATGGGTTTAGTTTGGTTGGTTACGTGCAGCATATTTTCTTTATTAATTATTATATTTATATGCCACTTTTCCTCCAAGGACCTCAGAATGGCATACGGAGTTCTCTGCCCTCCCCATTTTATTCTCACAATGAGGTAGGTTGGGCTGAGACAATGTGACTAGCCCAGTGTCACCCAATGAGATTTATGACAGGGATCTAAACCTAGATCTCTCTCTAAAAAAGGTAAAGGTAAAAGACCCCTGGACAGTTAAGTCCAGTCAAAGGCAACTATGGGGTTGTGGTGCTCATTTTGCTTTCAGGCCGAGGGATCCAGCGTTTATCCACAGACAGCTTTCCGGGTCATGTGGCTAAAGGGCTTTTGGCGCAACGGAACACCATGATGGAAACCAGAGCACACAGAAATGCTGTTTATCTTCCCGCCACAGCGGTACCTATTTATCTACCTGCATTGGTGTGCTTTCGAACTGCTACGTTGGTAGGAGCTAGGACAGAGCAACGGGAGCTCACCCCGTCGTGGGGATTTGAACCACTGACCTTCCGATCGGCAAGCCCAAGAGGCTCAGTGGTTTAGACCACAGCTCCACCTGCGTCCCTGATCTCTCTACACCACAATGACTATTAACCTTTCCTGAATTGTATAAACAAGACCTTGACAAGCATCCATCCAAAAAAAGTTTAGCTTCATTCTCCCACCCCACCCCCAGAGTAAATACTATAGTGCACTTTGAGCCAAGAAATACAGACCAAACTTTCCTGATTAAATGGCTGAGTTAGATTTATAATGCTGGCTCTGCTGATAGATGGATTTTAACATTAAAATATAATCACAGATGAATGTGTAGTGGCTTTCTACAGCAACTCAGGATATTTCAGTAATTGCTGTCTATGGCGATGGCAAGTACTGAATATACAAGATCAAGAGATTAATGTCTCATTTATACTGGAAGTGAGTATTCAGCTTGAAGTACATGGCTACCAGATAAATTCAGTCAAGCATTTCTTTTTCACACTACCAATTGATCCCAATATAGTCAGAAGTCTCAACTACCAGTTAAATGACACACAAGTCTGCATATTAAGACTGTAATTATTTCCGTGAAAATGAATGCAGTAACTTTTTTTTTTATCACAGTGGGGGTCAGCGTTGGTGCCTATTAAAGCTGTGTTATTCAGTATGCATCTCAAAGATGATTTCTACAAAACCAGGAGGCTTGCTTGAAACTAAACCAAGTTCTGCCTTATTATTTTTCTACGGCTGTCTGGCAGGTGTAAGCCATCATCCAGAACAGAAATGCCCAAAGCCAACTTTGCTGTATTTTCACATCATTTTCAGCCTACCCTTGTAAAAAGAGCATGTAAGTATCTTTAAAATACTGTATAACATTTTAATTCATTGAGTATAATAGATAGAGGTTTAAATATACTTTCCCCAAGAAACCGGAAGCATTTTTGCTTGGTTTGATGGGAGAAGAAATTGCAAAGGTAGATCAAAGATTATTTATGTATGCCACAACAGCGGCAAGAACTTTATATATATAATATAATAATAATTCATTATTTATATCCCGCCCATCTGGCTGAGTTTCCCCAGCCACTCTGGGCGGCTCCCAATTGAGTGTTAAAAACAATACAGCATTAAATATTAAAAACTTCCCTAAACAGGGCTGCCTTCAGATGTCTTTTAAAAATAGGATAGCTGCTTATTTCCTTGACACGTGATGGGAGGGCGTTCCGCAGGGCGGGTGCCCAAAGGTGGAAATTACAGGAATTACCAACAACTGAGGAGTGGCAGATGAAGATGATGGACTATGCGGAGTTGGCCAAGCTGACTGGTAGGATCCGGAACCAAGGCAACCAGAAATTTATTTGGTATTTGAATGATCATTGTAAAAATGTGAAGACACTAGCAGGATTGAAATAAATCTTGCAACGAAATGTAATAATAGTATCTGACCATGGAGAAGAGAGGACTTTAAGTATAAAGAAGGACAGAAACTGACAGTTAAAGTGTGCATACAATCTATTTGGAAATTAAAAAAACAGTTGAAGGGATGGAGGGAAGTCATGAGCTCGGCAGAGCAAAAAGTATATGACTTGTTACTGCAATGTTGGTATATTTTATGTTTAAAAAAGAAAATAATAAAAAATTATATATAGATAGTGAGATAGAGATATAGTATAATAGATGCACTTTGGAGACTCTCGCCTTTTCTATTTTAACAAGGAATTATCTCAAAACAATTGTTTGGTTTCCCTACCACATACCCTTAAACCTGTTGGATTGCTCGATACCCCACTTACTTGAACTAACTTTGCCACCACTGGGTTGAATCCAATACTGCCCACTCAGTAGAAGCAAGGCTCTTTGATCCAGAAGAAGCCTCCATCAGTGGGAACTTCTGATGGCATTAATACCCTTGTATCAGTATGCAAAGGCCAGTGATATTAGTTTGTATTATTGTTGTTGCTGCATTTATATCCCACCTTTTTCTCCAAGGAGTTTGAGGTGGTACACATGGTTTCCCCCCTCCTCACAACATCCCTGTGAGATACGGTAGGTTAAGAGGCAGCAACTGGTCCAAGGTCAACCAGTGAGCTCCCTGCCCAAGTAGGGACTTGAACCCTAGTTTCCTAAGTCCTAGTCCAACACTCTAACCATTACACCACACTGGCCCTCCAAGATCGACAGCAATAAATTGTGTATAACCTTGTAAAAAATAGATTCTGGTTTATGAAGCCATAGTGAGTACCACGGACACATGCTCTTCCCTTTCTCCTCCTCTTCTTCCATGGCGGGCCAGGTCTGGCATAGTTAGCATTAATTCAGAGTTTCTGGTTATATCCAAACTGGGGAACCATGGCTTAATGTTGGTTAACAGAACAAGGTTGTAGTACAGAATCTGACCGACATTAACTGGAGTCCCACAGTTCAGACATAACAGGGAACTCTTGGTTTCATGCAACTCATGATCTCCATGATAAAACCTGAACATGGTGGAAATAAAGAGAAGTACATGGCTATGTTTAACACTGTTAAACATGTTTATAAACCATGGTTTATAAAGCGTGGGTTAGTGGCCTAATGTTGTTGTTGTTTAGTCGTTAAGTCGTGTCCGACTCTTCGTGACCCCATAGACCAGAGCACACCAGGCACTCCTGTCTTCCACTGCCTCCAGCAGTTTGGTCAAACTCATGCTGGTAGCTTTGAGAACACTGTCCAACCATCTCGTCCTCTGTCGTCCCCTTCTCCTTGTGCCCTCAAATGTAGCCTGGCTTATTGTGAGAATTTTTGTATCAGACTAACCAGCTGGAAAAAGGGTTCAAGGTGTCTATTTCTGGTGCAAGTCATCATATTTCTATAACTTCCATAAACCATGCCCAACTTTCACCCACTGATAATATAGCTTTATGTCCATAATATTGCTAGTTGTGACAGCATCATTCTTTCTAACCAAACCACTGCTGAGAAATACCCAATTCACTTTGCACCCAACAGCTGTAGTTAAAGGCTGCATTCCCAGCCACACATCAAAAACAGTCACAACAGTAAGAGGCAGAAACAGCTGCAAACTCTTGGTTGGGGGGAGGAGAAAAACTTGCAGAGAGATTGTCATCCAGCTTTCAGAGGAAGTAAAGCCATTTTTCTTTCTTTTCTCATGCGTGACAGCTGTCTTAGCAGGAAAAAAAATTATTAGCAGTCTGTTTTGTAACAGAAACTCAACAATATTTAATGAACTCTGAAATCAAGGATATTCAGGGACCAACACAAAGTTTAACACTTTGGTGTAGCCAAAACAATGTGTTTGACTGGGCTGCAAGTTCTCCAGTAGAGCAAGATTATTCCCTTCTCCCCATATCATTACTCTCTTTAAAAGAGGGGGAAAGACTAAGATTTTTATCTGCACTCTAAAGACAAAATCCATTTCCAAGTCTAATACTTAATTGCCTGAAGTAGTTAGGATGATAAACTCTACACTTTCTTCTCAGCTGATAAAGTGGTTTGATCTTCAAAATAAACTAGAAGACAGTAATTGAAAAGGATACCTGTTCAGTAGTAGCTCAGTGTGTGTTTCATTGCTGTATACAAGCCCTCAGGACCAATATAGAAAAACAGTAAGAGACAGAACCCAAGTTGTTTTTGTTTTGCTCCAAACAGATGCATTAATCTTCGTCCAATCTGCCTGATTTGCAGGGAGCGGTGGGAGCAGTAAATATGTAATATTCTTTGGGGCCATGGCCAAAGGCACTTATATATTCTATCATGGTCTGTTTGAATTTCCATGACCATGCTCTATTTTTCTATGCAAATATTATGTATTTATTATTTTATTAATTCATGAATTGCCCTTCATATAAATCTCAAGGCAATTTACAGACCTACAACAACAAAACAACTAAAAGCAGGTTTTAAAACAATGCAAAAATACAGCAACTAAATACTGTTATTATTTTTCAAAAGCCGCTTTCTAGGTATTCTGATGGAGCGAACAGAGGGTGGATTAGATTTGGGGGGGAAGGGCAGTCTCACTGTAGCCCAATGGATTGTCACATATTTGATTATAATAATTAAACTATGTGCTATCTGAACTACATATCACTCCCTATCTGGACAGGGCTCACCTAACTACTATTGTCTATGTTCTGGTAACCTACAGGTTAGATTACTGCAGTGTAGTATACATAGGGCTGCCTCTGAATACAGTTTGGAAACTTCAGCTGGCGCAGAATTCAGCAGCCAGGTTGTTCACTGGGGATGATTGTTGAGGTATATTTACATGATGCAAGGAGACTGATCTGGACCTTTACATTTAGCCAACCAGGGAGCTAGCATCACAAAAGTGCATCCCACCCCTGGTCCCTCACCTTCTGACCTGGCCAGAGCAAGTGGTTGAGTTGTGTATCTTGTCAGTGGCTATACCACTCCATTATGCTACCAGCAAGGGCTTGGGATTACTCTACCCAAAGGAAACTTAAACATGGAGTTCTGTGAATTTTGGCTGAACTTTGTACACAACCATTGTTTCCAATAACTATATTGGTTCGGTTGCCTCATTTCCTGCTGTTCAGAAGCAAAGAAGCACTCCTTTCTACCTGCTAGCCACATAAAACGAAATTTCAATACACTTAGCTTTGGCCAGATGATGCCAAGCATTTATGAGTTTCTAAACCGAGTGTTGGGACATTAGATTTGTTCAGTGATGTAACTGTTCTAATAATCTGATGTAAGGCAATGCTCCATCCCAGGAAAATTAAAGACATTCTAATAATTGTGGAAACCTCCCTTTTCCCTTCTCATCTGCTAAAACTTAGGGATTTTGATAACAAACATGCTTGACACTATTTCCCAGGCAACTATTTGCATAATTAAAAGAGGGAACTAATTTAAATAGACATTGCATTCTAAATTTGCTGTATATCCTGTAAACACAACATTTCTGCAACTCTTCAACTCCTTTTAAAAAGAAGATATTTCAAGGAAATATATATATTAGCAGCATTTTAATGTAGATGTTGTTACTAGGCATTAAAGGCAGGCCATGTGTTCTGTACTGTTGAACGTGTCAGCTCTTGGGCTGCGCAACGAGAAGAAAGGGGGAAGGCTCTGTGGGTTACTGCAATATGATACTAAAGATAACTTGCTCTGTAACTCAACCCAGCCTAATTCAGGGGATGTGACTATTTCTACTAATGGCACAATGTATTTTATACAATCACATTCCTTTTGCTCCCTTGGCTGGCCTTACAAAAGGAAACGTGTTCTGGAAGCATTGTCCTACAATTTTTTTTAATGTTTCATGTGATGGGGGGCAAAATGCTGAGCGAAACGATCTGGCATAAGAAATGAATGAATAATAAGGCCATTATAAAGCAGAAACATCTAACTACTTGTACTCCTATCAAAAACACTCTATGTTGAAGCACAAAAATTTGCAGAAGGCTAAGAGGAACTTGCAAAAAGAAACGATTTTGCTATTACTAACATTTTCCTTATAGCCAACCCTTTGCTATTTTCCTCACCTCAAGGTTTCAGAAACTCTGAAAATGTAATTCAAGCTCTCTTTTGCTACTGGCCTAGACATTTGCATGAAATAAGTGAGTACCATCATAGAATGTTTTTTTTGGAGGGGGGGAGAAACAGGTCGGAAATATCTGAAAGACCATCTCCTTCCCTAAAGACCCTCTTGGGTGCTGAAATCGGCAGAGGGGGCCCTTCCAGCACTAAGGAGATACTGATCTATTTATAAGAGGCAGCTTTATGACCCAGCAGCAAAGGCACTGGCTGCTGAAATTAATAGATCAGTGCTACGCAAGGTGGTGGTCTCTATTGGCTGTTTCTCCATAGCAGCTCCACCACAGCACAGGTTGTGTGGGTTTATTTAGGGACCAGATATGCTACTGGTTCCTGACACATGGGTGGGTGTGGAGTGAGAAGACTGCTGGTTCAACATCAGATAGCTTGAGAAGCACTGGAATAGATGATGATAATAACTATATAAACAATACAGACAAAATAAAGTCATCACCCTATACAAAATGAATTACTGGTTATAAATTGAGTGAGAAAGACTTAAGAGAAGGAAAAAGAAAAGCATACATAATAGCAGTAGCAGATTAAAACAGCTGAGCAGCATTCTCAACATCTCCAGTTAAAGCAGTGTTTTCCCCAAACTTGGGTCTCCAGCTGTATTTGGACTACAACTCCCATCATCCCTAGCTAGCAGAACCAGTGGTCAGGGATGATGGGAGCTGCAGTCCAAAAACAGCTGGAGACCCAATTTTGGGAAACACTGAGTTAAAGCATTGGGGAGACGACCATACAGCTACTACAAGGCTAGATGCATCAATGATTCCACTCAATGTAATAACCCTAGGAAACAAATCTCTTTTTTTTTAATTTTTAACTATCAATTCTTTATTGATTAAAAGATTTGCATGTCTATACAAACATTATGTACTATCTCTTAACAGGTAAAAAAAAAGAAAATTATAGAAAATAGATAATTTATAAAGAAAAAAGAAGTAACAAAGATAAGAAACAAAGAAATCATTTTTTTTAAAAAAAGAGAAAAAGTTATTTACATAGTAAAAGTACTCATCAGCACAATCCTTCCCATCCTTCTCATTATACTGTTTGATATAACATTCTTCTTTACACAGGTTTACATTGTATAATATCATTTCTTTCTGCTTTGTATATATTCATTTGATCTTTTTCTTTACAAATATCACTCAATTTCTGCTAATATGGAGTTATTCATACAATAAAGTTTTACATAATTCTTAAATATTATCCATTCTCTAGTTGTTTTTTGTTTCGATATTCCTCTAACTGATCCCGTCAGTTTTGCTAATTGTAGATATTCTAACATAACCCTAGGGAACAAATCTAACATGGAGGGAGATCAAGGTGTCAGAGAAAGCAACTCAGAAACCCTAGCATCAAGATTTTATTCCACTTGGTTTTCTTCTAATTCCCATTTAACCTATATCTATATATTCTTTTGACATTCATTTACATTGTCTTTCATTCCCAGTAAAGTGAAGCTTCCCTCCCTTCCCTTCCATCCCTCAACCCTTACCACACAGGGTGAAGTTCAAGTGAGAAGGAAAAATCACAATCAATATTCCTTACCTGAATGAAGCGGCCTTCATATGTGCCTAGATTTGCTATG